TGGTATTGACTTTGATGCTTGAGAGGTTAGTGACAGTTGCCTCCACATAAATCAGCCATATTGAAGCGCCAAATCGTTAGTAAGTTTATATACAAATTCATGTTTTGGGTACTCAGTTTGATGAGAAAATTCATGACTACAGGAATTATTAGACCTGCTGTTACAAGATTTGCCTACTGCTAATATTTAATATTTGCAGAGTTCAAGGAAGCTTAAGACAACATTTGACAAGCAATGTTTTACTTTTCTGAAGAGTGGAATAAAAGTTCATGGGCCAAAAAACAAGAATGAAAACAAGTTAAAAAAATTTTATGAAAGACGATTCATTTTGCGCAGTACAAATATGCTTTGAGACAACATGACATTAGTAAAGGTGCTTAGAATGGTTTGATGGTGAGAGGGCCACGGCTATGGAATTTAATTTATGAAGCAATGAATATGGCTTAAAATAAGGACATTTGCAAAAAGAATTGGGAGGTTAAGAAGTTGCCTACAAAAAACTATTGGGATATTATAGATGAATAAGTGAGATCGCACAATTAGCACCAACACTTATATGATACTGCGTACTAAGGGGTTTTCATTTGAGATCAGTCATTATGATGAACTACTCTCTCTCCCTTCTTCTCTCCTATAGAGTCCAATGTCGGGCATTTACTTCAAGATTGTGTAAGTTTTAATATATATAGTGAGGCGTAAGCCTCATGCCAGTGATGCGAGGAGGGCCTCAAGGCGGGCCTCAACCAAGTTGAGGCGCAAGCCTCATAAAAAAAACTCGAGGCGTAAGCATCGAGACGTTTTTTACTAGAATTACGCAAATGCGAGCCTCAAGGCGAGCCTCATATTATGCAATTTTAAACCATGCCTAATATCAATACAAAAACTAACCATTGATCATAATTGTTAAGATTTATTTAACCCTACTTATTGCTTATTTCAGGACCAGAGATCGGGGAAGAAGATTGGACGTGCTAAGGAGAAAGCCGTACTATACTACCTGAAAGAACTAAACAAACCAAAAAACAGCTGCTCTATGTTATCCTTAATTGATAAGAACTCCAATATTTAACTTCATCATTATAGGTTAGGACACCCATTTTCATTGTGAAACATGTGAGTTACATAAACATAAAAGAACTTCATTCCCAAATAAAAATGAGAGATGTGATACTCCTTTCTACCTTATTTA